CGGCAGGCAGAGCAGCATGGCTGCTAATGTTTGCAGTTTGCCTGCCACCCGATTTTCGGCCAGAACATCCCAGGTTGCCAAGAGCCGGGCAGGTAGATATGTAAGGCCATACACATCTTTCTGCCCAGCTCTTATTAACCTGGGATGCTCTGGATGGCATCCCACCCAGCTACTGGCAATTATTGACGTCACTGGTGACACTCCATGTCCCTCTGATTGGTTGGGAAGCCGGCCAAGCGAGTCATTACCCTCCTCCCAGCTTCCTGATTGGCCAGAAAGCCGGCTCCATGCTTCCTCGTCACTTGGTGATGAGTGAGCATGGAGTCGGCTTCCCGGCCAATCAGGAAGCCAGGCAGCGAGTCATTGCACGTTGCCCGGCTTCCTTAATGGGACTTCTGGTATCAGTGAGTACCGGAAAAAAAAATATTGATACTCGATACGAAAAACGGTATCTGTGCATCGCTAATTATTACATTAATTAAATTTATCATTGTTATTTAATATAATATTACATTAATTAAATTATTATAAAAATGATTCCTAATATATTACTAATAATAATAAAACATTATCTTCTTTGTTTGTGTCTGAAAGGGCAATGAACATTGTACAATGGAGAATCAGGCAGTAATTGCTGGACCTCCACACAATACGTTGCAAATTTGCCTTGAATGGTTCACCTGCTCATCTAGCTTTGCCTGTTTTTTTGCAGCCAACAGTGAAAACCCATTCAATTTGGCACATGGAGTGTGTGCTGACTGTACTGTATTTATACCAAGCTGGACACGGCTAAGGTGTGGCCTTCTCTTGTTCACACATGAATCTACTGTGCTAGAATCATTGGTATTTCACTGATGGCAACACTTGCCAGTTTTGTATTTGAACAGCACTCTAATCTAAAGTCTAATTATTAAACGTTCAAGTCACTGCTCTAGCATAGGTTTTTTTTTTTTTGTAAAGTATGCTTTGAGCAATGTTTTTATATTTAACCCTTTTTTGACCAAAGGATGTTAATGCCTAGATCCCCAGGCTAAATTTAAGCAGTGTCAACGTGCACCAGTTAACTTGACGATGGTTGTGAGACTAATTGGCATACCTACATCATTTTTATATTTTCCTTTAAGGACTGTGAGCTGGCGATCGGTAGCTGGTAATTAAGCCCCCTGGGAATAAGCAGTCTCTTGGGCACAGATACTATATCCAGGGGACTAGTGGCAAACAGTGCAGTGTTTATTGGGGATATTCACAAGAGCATTCTAGCAAGTTCAACCGCACATTGCAAGTGAATAAAATATTACTTCTGGAAAAGAAAAAAATGCCGCAAGTTAACATTTAGAATACTTGATTTTTCAGTGCTTTTATTTCCAGTTTGAAAATAATAATGTATTTTTAAAAATAAAATTTGTGTTTTTTTAATAATTTGTATTGATAAATTCTCCCTTTTTTATAGATCCAGTTTTTCAGGTTGACTCGACTTATTGCATGAGTGCCATGTAGGGCGTATAGTCGATGATAAATAGAGCTTTCACATGTATTTCAGCACCCTGAGGAATCATTTAGTTTACAGTGTGAGTGCCTGGGGCAGTTACAGGTAATTTCAGATTCTTCTGTTCTGAAATACTTGAGTTTATTATAAGGCTCTAGGCATGAACTGCATCGCATGGACTCACATTTTTAAGGTGGGTTGTGTTTTAGTTTATATTACAACTTTTAATTTAAAATCTGTACTGTAAAGATAGAT